TTTTTAGCTCCGCTGTCGACTTTGTCGAGCGGAGCTTATCATATGAGTGATTGTCCGTCGTCCGTCGTCGTCCGTGTCAATGTTTTACTTTTTCGACTTCTTCTTGAATAACTACAAGCCTGAATGCTTTGATACTTGGTGTATATGTACCTTGGGTAGACCTCTCTTAGGTTTGTTCATTTCATGTTGATATCTTCAATTCTCTAATTTTGGTGAATATTTTTGTCATTTTTGGTAAAAAGTGATATTTTCGACTTCTTGTTAAAAACCGCAAGTGCAAATGCTTTGATAATACATATATAGGTACTACATGTGGACCTCTCTCAGATTTGTTCATTTTGTAATGATATCTTTAATTCTCTAATTTTGGTGAATATTTTTGTCATTTTTGGTAAAAAGTGATATTTTCGACTTCTTGTTAAAAACCGCAAGTCCAATTGCTTTGATACTACATATATAGGTACTACATGTGGACCTCTCTCAGATTTGTTCATTTCGTGATATTTTCGACTTCTTGTTAAAAAACGCAAGTCCGATTGCTTTGATATTACATATATAGGTACTACATGTGGACCTCTCTCAGATTTGTTTATTTTGTGATGATATCTTCAATTCTCTAATTTTGGTGAATATTTTTGTAATTTTTGGTAAAAAGTGATATTTTCGACTTCTTGTTAAAAACCAATAGTTCAATTGCTTTGATATTACATATATAGATACTACATGTAGACCTTTCTCAGATTTGTTCATTTTGTGATGATATCTTCAGTTCTCTAATTTTGGTGAATATTTTTGTCATTTTTGGTAAAAAGTGATATTTTCGACTTCTTGTTGAAAACTGTAAGTCCGATTGCTTTGATATTACATATATAGGTACTACATGTGGACCTCTCTCAGATTTGATCGTTTTGTGATGATATCTTCAATTCTCTAATTAATTTATTTTTGGTGAATATTTTTGTAATTTTTTGGTAAAAAGTGATATTTTCGACTTCTTGTTAAAAACTGTAAGTCTGATTGCTTTGATACTATTCATATTGTTCATTTTCTAATCATGTCTTCAGTTCTTTAATTGAAATGTGCATTGCTAATAGCGGAGCTATCTCAGCCGATAGGCTGCTTGTTGTAAATCTAAGATGTCCGCCTCCAATATGATTAAATCATTACTGTTGAAACAATGATAAATCGCACTTCGATTATATGAAAACAGCATTTTAAACACCGATGACACCCTAAGAAGCAGAAAATTCAATACATGCAAACATGGTACATGTATACCTAGCACCGGAAACAATAGAATTTGCCATCTCAGCATTCATTTGAACATACTATACAGATTCAGTATTCAAATATCGAGTGATACATTTATGAGTGATTGTCGTCCGCGTCAACTTTTTACACTTTTCGGACTTCATCTTGAAAACTGCTAGTCTGATTGCTTTGATACTTGGTGTATATGTTCCTTGGGTAGGCCTCTTTTAGATTTGTTCATTTTGTGAAAATATCTTCAATTTTCTAATTTTGGTGAATATTTTTGGTAAAAAGTGATATATTCACTACGTTCAATTACCCACCATAGACTCTGGTCAGTCAAAATGACTATTTTGAACTGTAGGCATTAATCAGCGATTCTGCCGGTGACGGAGAGATAGAATCTAGGTCAGGGGAAGCCCCATGACCTCAAGATTCTTTTACCCTTACGTCACAAACCCACGTGACTGAGGCCACCTGGCATATAGGTGCTACAGGTGGATCTTTCTCAGATTTGTTCATTTCATGATGATATCTTCAATTCTCTAATTGAAATGTTTATTGCTAACAGCGGAGCTATCTCAGCCGAGTGGCTGCTTGTTTCCTTATATGGGGTGGACTACATTACCAACATTGACTGGATATTGAGGTCACATTCAGATACTTTCTTCTATTTACATTAGATGCAGAAACACTTTAGCTCAATGGAAATAGAACCCGTCACTCACGAAAACATTCACACAGTGCAAAATATTAGTAAATTATTACTACAAACAGGATACATATGTATAATAATAAGATTATCACTAGACAGGGTCCATAGTGTTGGGAAAATCCTTTGAAAGTCTTTGGATTTGTTGAGGTGTTGGAAATTCTTTGAGTTGTCTTTAAATTACAGGAACAATAAAAAAAAAATGTGAAGTCTTTAAATTTCTTCAAAGTTATTAATTCATTTTTGAAAGGCCCATTTTCTCCAGGGAACTACCATATCCTCAGAACTTTGATGAGCCTTGGTGAAGATGTCTTAGAAAAATGCAAGAAAGTTTGGGAAAGGTCTGGAAAAGTCTTGGAAATCATTTGGCTCTTGGTACTATGGACCCTGCTAGAATACTGCCAAGTATGCGCTTCACTCCAAAGTCAATAGGGAATTCTAGATCACATAGATTGTAGAATTATTTGCAAGAGTTATCAATAATTTATGCAAACATTTAATGCCAATCCGGACTCCTCTGCATTGTTATCGCTCTTACAAAAGCATGCATTATTTTTATTGTACATACATGTATGTAAATGTTAAAACATACTGTAAAATACTTTATTTTCGCTTTGATTTAATTTACGCTGAAGTAATGATTCAGTGTAAATAAAATCCAGCGAATATACTATTTTTCCTGTATTTTACATTCAACTCGCTAAAATTCAATGAAAATAAATTCTATACAAAACACCTAAAAACTTGATTGATTTCAGCTAAAATAAAGTATAGTAGAAGCCTACTACATTTGATATATAACAATACCTATTAATAGCAAATTATTAAATATAATATTTTTTTTTATTGCTTGGTCATAAATCCTGGTATACAATTTGTTCCATTCTGTGTTACTAGTAAACAATGTGAAAGATGGCATATTATTATACATCTACCGTATATGTACGTAGCTCTGAAAATAATAGAATTTACTGTTTTATGAAAAGCCGGATAAAGTCTGCATACATTTCAAAACATTTCTCTATGTTCAAATTTTCCTTTTATATTGGGTTAACATTCAAGCACTTTGTTTACCTTGGATGCAGAAATACTACTGCATGGGACAGAAAAAGAAACTGAGAACAAAAGTTTGCACTGCACAAAACGTTTTTCATTTCTAATTCTTTCGTTAAATTAAACCTACAAGCAAGAAAAAGATGTATAAGGTTATCCCAAGAAATACAGCAGCGTATGTACTCAGGCAGTATATGGTAATATTACATCACTTGTTGCTATGAGTAAGTCAATTTGCCCACTATACTGTCTTTGTGCATGTATAGCTGTATTCTTGTGACACCTTGTACATGTATGTATCCTAATAATATTTCCACCTGAGGCACCAAATATGACGCAAACAATTTTGTAATACTACGAAAATGGTTGTTGTTTATTGAAATATTTTTTTTTCTTTAAAAATATTTTTCTTATTTCATTATCCTTTCATTAACCAGGGGTATAATTTTTTGAAAAAAGGTACATGTTGGGTATTTTTTGACCCTGTTTATAAAAAAAAAAAGTAAAAACTGGTTACAGGTACGCATAATATTTTTTGAGGTTCAGACAAAATCAACC